TTTTGGCATAATAACTAGTTACCGTGCTCGTTACCACAATAATAATGTAGTTACTGTAACACGTTACTTAACACGTTAGTCCCAACACTGTATATAACTGAATATCATCGGCATAGCAGTGATATGAAATGTCCTTAAAAGTCCTCAATAAGTGCTGAAGAGGAAGTAAATACAGCAAGAACAATAAAAGCCCCAAAAGTGAACCTTGTGGCACACCATAGGCAAGAAAAAGTAGAAGAGGAACTGTAGAGGTAGCCACAGAAAAGCATCGTTCATGCAAATAGGATTCAAACCAGGCCAAATATAAAACAAAATAAAAACAAACCAACAAACATGAAAACACCAGACATCATGATGCAGACTTATCATTTGCACTGATGTTTTTCCTCGGTGCGCCTGCTCGCTGCTGAAGTCAAAGTAAACTTTATTGTCATCTCCGCTACAGACAGTCCAGAGAGACGAGACGACGAGGCTCCAGTTACAGCAGTGCAACTAAACAAACAATAAATATAAGAGGAGTAAGAAAATAAACATACACTTTATGACTCGGGGTAAAGGGATCAATAACAATTTAAAATTTATAATTTACAGTTTGATGATTTAAAGTCTCACACACAATGATGGGTGTTCATACTGGAGAGCAAAATTAAACCAATGTAAGATGGACAAGAAAAGTTCAAAGCCATCAGGAGCTCAGTTTAGAAAAAAAAAGAGAAAAGAAGAGGAGGAGAAACAAGCAACAGATGCAGGTAAGCAGATGTGTGACTGGATAATAGCAGGTCATCCTGAAACAATCAGAATCAGAATACTTTATTAATCCCTAAGGAAATGATGTGTTACAGTTGCTCCAAGAAGAAATGGTAAAAATAGCAACAGCAACAGAGTAAACTCCAAACAATACATTATGTTACAGATTTTACACATGTAAGCAATAGCACTAATATACAGAGATCACTCAATTATAAATATCAAGGACTAACAGAAGGGATTATAAATGAATATCAAGAAATTTGAGGGTTTCGGGGGTGGGGTGGGGGGGCTAGGACTGCCACTGGGTGGGAGCATGTGCACGACCCCCAGCAGAGTAGTGAAACACCACGTGATCTTCTTTAAACCTTTATTCAAAAATGAAGTGAAATATGCATCACTGTCGGGGGCGTCTTCTCTTTTTTTCTGCTTCATCAGAAAAATCAGTGGAGAGGCAGAAAAGTGAGAGGAAACAAAAAGGAAGTTTGTGTGTGAGGCTCCACCCCCCACAGGTGAAAATAAACGTGATAATTTGACAGACAGGAGCAGCCTGTGAATGCTGTTATCCTGGGAGCTGAGCCTGTTTGAGTCTGAGCAGCAAACAGGAAGCTGTCAGCAGCTGAGTGCTTGATTGGACGCACCTGTGCTGAGATCAGGTCTGGATCAGGCTGTCGATGGTTACCTGGATCAGGTCAAATGCTGTGGCGTCATGGATGAGTCGGCTTTGGAGCGTTACTTTGAAGACTCCATTGCAAACGTGAGTGTGAGAAAGAGGTGATGTCAGCAGGTTTGGGTGAGTCTGGACTCTCTCTGGTCTTCAGTCCTCCGCCTGAGCCTCTAAAAAAAGTTTGTTCTGCTCATTAAAACAGAAAATGTGCAGTGAAAGCCAGAGTAGCCGATCTTCAGCGCACATCTGTAAAAACGAAAGCCATGAAACATGAAGTAAACCAGCAGTCGAGTGTAGATTTGGTACTGAAGGCCAGCTCTGGGTCCTCTGAGCTTCTGTACTGAATGACTGTTTCCCGTCTGTGTTAATGTGTGTTCAAAATCCTGCAGACAGTCCTGAACTGAGAGGAAGAATGTCACCTTTACGTGCAAACCCATTCAAAGTGAACAGGAGCTGCACAACTATCAAAAAATTAGTGCGAGTCATCTGACAACAAATCAGTAAATGTAATCATTAGGGATGGGTATCGTTTAGGTTTTATCCGATACCGGTGCCAAACCGGTGCTTAAAGAATAGAGAACACAAAATTGGTCCAAAAACCTCTCATGTTCAGCTGTGGGGG